GTTTTCTTGGAACATCAAGTCATGTAAATTCTGGAAATGTAATTTGACTGAACGTTTAGATCGCAACTAAAAAATGACCAGTTTTTAGCGAATATCATATTGTTTTCCTCAATGGTGGACTTATTGGCCTAACTGTGGACCCGCAGCGCATCGTATCAACGATACGAGCTGTTCGCCGACACGGACTGCTGAACGAGTTTGTTTCGGTGTCCACAAATGCTGCCCAGCGAGCTGTTTATATAGCTAGTGACGGTGGCCGCCTTTGTCGACCGTATATAATTGTGACGAAGGGGAGGCCGCATGTTACTCAGGCGCATATTGAGGTATCTTTTGGTGTTTAATTTTCTAGGTTTTGCGCCGCGAATGAGCAGCTTGCAGGATGTCACTGTGATAATGCGAGGAAGTAAAATCCATTGTGTTGACAACAGGTAGATGTTATGCACCAGCGAGTGGGCATTGTAAGAATAGCCACTCGTGTAGCATTCAGCAAGGTGACGTGCATGAATCAGACATTTGGTGATTATCGGTTTTGGAAGTGCGCAGCTCGAGAACGACGGAACTTGCACAGCTGGCCCTGCTCGTGGGTGCATCCCAGTAACATCATATTCGATTGTGCGGGCAATTTTAAGTAGTCATTTCATTGCTCAAAATGATAATTTTAGCAGTTCTGTTTGAAAGAATAAAAAAACGTGCAAAGCAATGAAACTAGGACCGTTATCGGGCCGACTACCAAATGATGCAGTTTAGTCGCAACATTTTTGGAGAAGTGAGCGGGAGAGGGAGGTGCGTTAGTGGCATTAGACCCAAACGACGGCATATGATCAATGTGCCATATGTTTTTACTTCTTAAAAGGTTATCTGTTCAGGAACTGAAGAAAGGACATAGAATTTTCGAGGATTTTGTAGACGATGGCTTAATTGAGTACTTAGATGTAAACGAGATGAATGATGCATCAATAGCTGTTTATGAGCACCAAATTAAAGCCCATACGACGCATCTTGAAGTTTGTTTTTTTTTTTTCCAAAATCGTTTGTTCAAATGTTTTCTTTTGTTATTTGTAAGACTGTCGATAGTTTTTCCAGAATTGTTGAAAACCAAAGCAAGGCCGGCTTGAGACGTTTTCAGCTAGCTCATTTCATCGCAGGAAAGTTGAGATTTTCGGAGTATAGACAGAGGAGGTTGAGTACTTAACTACGTTAAGAATGTGTGCAGATAAGGATGCGTAAACTCTTATCATTTGAACTGTGATTTTTGGGATGTAATTTTCAGTTCTTGATGAAAAAAACAC